CTGCGAAACCCAGAGTGTAAACACAGCAGTGTGGTGTTGACCTATGAAGAGAAGATGGAAATTGATGGGTGGAACAGAACAGACAGCCACAGATAGCCTCACCCTTCTCTGGATTCTTACAGCTCAGTAGAAAGTGAACTCATTGGTAAAAAGAGTTAGGACAATTTTATCAACCAGTCGTAAGTCAGCTGTCCCTCTGTTGTGCAGAATCCACCACCACTGTGCCAACCTCTCTTCTCAGTTGCGTGTCTCTGATGTTCATCTTCTTGTTCATGTAGGTTCTTCTCCCTTTGTTTAATTTGTTGAACTATGTGCAGGAATCAAATGCGAAGGCTTATGTTTACTTCACAGTGTTTAAATGGAAATAAACTGTCAAGTGACTTCATCTTTTTAAAATAGACAGCTTTTCAGGAGCTCTTATTTTCTTCAAGAGTTTTATATTAAGACAAGTCTATCCACTACCTCACTAAACATTGGACAAGTGCTAATATTTTAGAGTCTGTTAAAAAGATTCCTTTAAATTTGCCGGGCCCTCCCTGGTGGTGCAGCAGGTTAAAGCACAACACTGAGAAGCTAAAGCCACTTCCGCATGAGTTCGATCCCCGCCTGCCCCGGAGGTGACCACACGGTGCAGCAGCCCTCTCCTGACCCGCCCGCTGCTCCCCTCAGCAGTGTACTTCGTCGATCTGCCTGTTCTGCTCCCCACTCTGTCTCTGGTGAAGCCTCTCGCCACCCCTGAGCCTCTGGCCTGTACTCCAGTTCTGTATGCACAAATAAATAAATCTTTAAAAAAAAAAATGCCTTCCTGTGAAAGCTGAAGGACTAATGTTCATTCACTTGAGCACATACAGCCAGTAGCTGCGCACCTAGGGTGAGTCTACAACATGCAAATTCTGTGGTCAATATTTGAATCATCAACTCTTGAAAATTGATGGCCCTATTCTGTCTCTCTGTAAAGACTTACTTTATTTAAGTATATAAGAACTGAGGTGTAGGCCAGAGGTGGGGGGGTATGGGGGTGGGAAGGAGAGGATTCACCAGAGATGGAGTGGGGAGCAGAACAGGCAGACTGACTGAAATTTGCTGCTGAGGGGAGCAGTGCGGGAGACAGGAGAGGTCTTCTGAGCCATGGGAGTCAGCTCCCTTGGTGGGGCTCACGCCTCTCTGGCTGGTGACAGCTTCATAGCACTGAGACTTAACCCCTGTGCCACCATGGCACCTTGGCCCTATTCTTTTTTTTTTTTTTAAAGATTTATTTATTTGTACATACAGAACTGGGGTACAGGCCAGAGGCTCAGGGGTGGTGAGAGGCTTCACCAGAGACAGAGTGGGGAGCAGAACAGGCAGATCGACGAAGTACACTGCTGAGGGGAGCAGTGGGCGGGTCAGGAGAGGTCTGCCTCGCCATGTGGTCACCTCCGGGGCAGGCGGGAATCGAACTCATGCGGAATTGGCTTTAGCTTCTCAGTGCTGTGCTTTTACCCGCTGCGCCACCAGGGAGGGCCGGCCCTATTCTTTTAATATGCAGTATTGAAAATGTTTGCTGTTCAAAGTAATCTTTACACTAATGTAGACACTTTCTCCAGTCAGGTATTTTCTCAGGCGCTAATGCCTCCCTTACTGATATTTTATCGAGTGATTTCTCATTCGAGGTGCGGGAAAAACATGGTGCTGGGAGGCAGCAGAATCTTCAGAGGCTGAGGGGGCATATCTTGAGCCCCGCAGCATGGTTGCCATGGTGACTCCGCTGCTCTGCCAAGCCTGTTTCTCACTGTGGGTGGAAAGAAGCTCCCTTGCCAGCAACTATGCGGGATTCTGGCAGCTGGAAGGACACAAATGATGCGCTGCTTCCCCAGATGGGAGTTCTGCATCCTCTTTTAATTCCAACATGCAGCTCGGGTCCTGCACAAGAGTGAGGGCATTAGGCTGGAGCCCATTACATGAGCAAAATGTGGGTGATGAGCGACAGTTAAATGTTGTGATTTTGAAGCAAAGTTTAGCATATATCAGGACTTAGAGTGGAAGATTCCAGCCTGACCTCGCAGTAATGGAGGTTAGTGGCATTCACGGGGAGGGTATCATTTTGAGGGTTTAAAATGGCAGCATTCAGATAGGGCGTAAAAGATACAGTTCCATTGGACGTGAAGATCTTAAACTCTTCAGGAGGGTCTGTTAACGCTGGGCTGTCCACTTGGGTTTAACTAGTTTTGATATTTAGCTCATGTTTTTCTAAATTTAGCAGGTACCACTCAAAGATATAATTCATGTCCAGACTCTGACAGTAGAGAAGCCCCATTCCTCTCCTTCTAGGGAAGCAGATCCTCCGTAGATGCCTGGGTCCGTGTCAATGGCAGCTGAGAAAATGTGAACTAAGTAGAAACTCCTCTGGCTTCATAATGGACTTCCGTGGCAGTTTCTGCCATCACCCATGAGGTGATCATGCCATTAGCTCCTAACATTCTCATTCAAACTTTATCTTAAGCTGTTATAGACTTTAGGCTTCAGATACCCCAAAATGCTTCTCATCTATGAATGTGATGTTTGCACTCCTTTTTCGGTATTTGATTGTCTACTATTCTGAAGAATCATCTTGAATATATTCATTTGGCCTCGACACCCCAGGATGTCTGCGGCAGAAATTGCCCACACACACATCAAATTCTTCTAGAATAGCAAGGAAGAAAAATCATTAAGGAATGGGGTTTGAAATCATTGGATTTTAGGTGGTGTTCACCAGAATTAGGGTAATTCTCCTTTGTTAACCATTCAATTTATTTTTTAAAAAAATAGTTAAGTAAGCAGTAAGTTAGACTTTTTACACATAGAAAGACAGAGAATCACTTAACGAATTTTTGTTGCCCTGTTAATCGTCACCCACAACTGTGTTCAGTGACATTCAGATTCTACACACACTGTCTCATCCATCTGCCAGTGAAATTTCTTCCTATCTTTTGAAGTGTCAAGCTGCTCTAACCTTGTGTACTTCCGTGTATGTGTGTGTGTTCAGGAAGTTTAGGGAGTCACTTTGAAAAATCATAATTTTTCATACTTCTTTTATCTCTGGAGCAGATAGATGAGCTACAGTTCTCATAAAAGGCCAGTTCAGGCCCTCCCTGGTGGCGCAGCGGGTTAAAGCACAGCACTAAGAAACTAAAGCCACTTCCCCATGAGTTCGATCCCCTCCTGCCCCGGAGGTGACCACATGGCGTGGCAGACCTCTCCTGACCCGCCCGCTGCTCCCCTCAGCAGTGTACTTCGTCGATCTGCCTGTTCTGCTCCCCACTATGTCCCTGGTGAATCCTCTCACCGCCCCTGAGCCTCTGGCCTGTACCCCAGTTCTGTACGCACAAATAAATAAATCTTAAAAAAAAAAAAGATCTAAAAAGGCCAGTTCATTGGGAAACATTAAAATCACAGACTAGCCCAACTCTGAATAGAAAGTCACTTCACACAGCAATTTTGCAATTCTTACATGTCTCAAATGTTACTATTAGCATGCAAGTGTTATAGAGAACATGCCCATCTTGTTAGAACTTTCTTAACTACAGTAAATATCACGTCATTTTCCAGTCTCATTTGTTACTGGCTTCTGATAAAAGGAGAAGTGAATCATGTGAGAGGAATTGAGGGGCTTCAGCAATTCCATAGGAGACTTGACCAAGAATTTCTAAAAGCAGAGAAGTAGAGGGATTCTTTGGGACAGCATATGCTTGGGAGGGGTAGAAGAAGAGGTGGGTGAGGTGAACCCGAGATCGCCTTTGGAGGTTCTCTGAGGTTATTCTCCCACTTCAATTTTTCTTTCTCGCTCTTTGCTGGCACATTGACTCTCATTAGTATTTCTTGGAAAGTAGCGCAGCTCACCACTGAGTCACCAGGGCTCATCTCTTCAGCACTGCTCATGGCAAAGCTACTAGTTTAGCTCTTACTAGTTTAGCTCTTTCAAAATCTCTGGGACACATCTAGATAACTTTGATTCTTTTAGCATTGACAACAATGGACTTCTGACACTTCAGACGAAACGTATAAACACATCTTTCACAAGTAATGGCTCAAGTGAAGGGATGAAACTTCAAAAAAGAATTGGTATTGCTGTGGTCCAATCACTTTTGAAAACTATACAGAATAATAATATTATTAATAATTAAAATTACAACAAGTAATGGAGCGTACAGTAGTGAGTAGTTACTTTGTGCTATGTACTGTTTTGTGCATTAATTTTATACAAGAATCATAGGAGGGGGGCTCTTACTGTCACCATTTTACAAACGATGCCATCCAAAGCAGCAGCTTAGGGAGAAAAACACATACATAGAGGTAAAGTCAGAATTTAAACCAGGTCTGGCCTCTTTTTTCTCCATGGAAGTACTTTTCTCTCTTTCCTTTTTAATAACCTTGCACCATAATAAGAAGTAGATTTGGCACTATGACGCACTACAAAAATAACATATAAAAGTATCTGAACACTGAAGACGAATATAATTTGCCTGAATGCAGGCAACACGCTTGCATATTGTCTCGTCAATCCTCTTTCACTTGTAAAAATTGTTCTTGAAGTATCTCTAGCTGAGTTCATAACAGGCTGCCTTAAGCCGCTGTTCCTTCAGCTGTGGGGACTTCAAAAGAATGAATGTCATCGAAATAAAAATGTAAGCTTGTGAGATGTGAGAGTAATGAGGACAGGAGAAAATGATAAGCATGTGTGTCTGGTGAAGTGTAAATATTAAAGAATGTGTGGGTTGGGAAGGATGGGCTCCTGCTGGTTGGAGGGTTGAAGAGGGGCCCTCAGTGAAAACAGGGGTTCTCCTGTCTCTGGAGTGTGGGTTTCTAATGAATCAATCGTATTTTTATACCTTTCAGGCTTTGCTAGGAACTGATTTTCATGACTGACTGATTATTTATAAATGCAAATAGACTTTCCCATTATCCTGGAGTTTGAAAGAAAATGTTATTAACATTGAAAAAAAATCATTTCTAATGGTTTCCTTTTGGCTCTTCTGCAGGGTGTTTTGAGTGCTGTATTAAATGCCTGGGAGGCATTCCCTATGCCTCGCTCATCGCCACCATCCTGCTCTATGCAGGGGTCGCCCTGTTCTGTGGCTGCGGTCATGAAGCTCTTTCTGGAACAGTCAACATCCTGCAAACCTACTTTGAGATGGCAAGAACCGCTGGAGATACACTGGACGTCTTCACCATGTAAGCCCTCCTAGCGATGCTTCTTATTTGGAGAATAATGTTCTTATTTCTGTGTTGACTCAGTAGCAATCTAGAACTATCGAGGCAGTATTATATATAAAAAATAACATGTTGTGAAGGCATAGACCTGAGTCAAAAGATTGTTAATTTGTATGATGGGTGTGGGACACATAGAAGTTCAGACTTCATCTGGGAGTTTTAGTTTGACAACAATTTTTTTATCCTAAATTCAGTTACCTTTAAGGGAAAGACTCGGATTTATCTTGTCTAATTTGAACAAAGGCTGTTCTAATAGAAAACAACAGAGAAGACACCACAGATCCAAGTATAAATGTAACCTCCTCTTGATTCTAGGAAAATCACCTATGTGTGCTGTTAAGCTTGAGAATAGGTTGATTTCTTTTCAGCCTTCAGACCTCTAATTATTTGCCAGCAAGCTGGGCTTTTTACCCATTTGAAGCCTTACGATAGGCTGTGTTTTAATTTTTTTTTAGCTCCAGCATGAGTATAATAACATCTTTTCCCTGCCTGGCAAAAATGATATGACTGGTTAAACTTTGTGGAAGATCCTTACTGACATCTGTAAAAGCAAATTATAAGACATATTTTGCAAGCACTAGTTGTGTTTAAAATAAGATCTAAGTGTCTGCGGTCTCTAAGATGTGATGCTATTAATATTTTCTAGAAAAGTGACATAAATATCATCTGGAACTTTCTATTCAAGCTTCAGAACTTTTATTGTCTAATACAAAAAGGAAAAGTCAGAAGTGAATTATAGAAGAACTTATCTCCAAATAAATTGTTGATTTAGATAATCTATCCAGTAATTTCATGTCTTCCCAAATAGCTTATGTTCTATTTAATTTGATAATCTCTGCTGATAGTAAACTTGGCATTTGCACTAATCATTGCAGAACTTATGACCCCTGCAACTTCTTGCTCTTATTTCATACTTTGTGAAACTATGTGATTATAATGGTTTTTCATGTTGCACCTCATTTGAGTATTGCTTTTCTAGAATGGGATGCTTTTAAAGTTGCAAGTGTTTATTCAGTACATGGTTGATTAGTCTGAATTTGCTTTTATCTCATACAATCCACCAGAAAAGTAGTCTATCACATATTGTACTGACCCCAGGCAATGCTTATTAACTTGTGATTATAAACCAAGACCCTAATATAACCTAATATAATACCCCAGATAAATTGCTAGTGAGTGGTCAATTTTTCTCAAACTCCAGTATCAAAACATTTATCATATTGCTTTTTTTTTTAATAATGCACTACTGTGCAGATTCTCTTCTAGAAGATATTGCTGATAAATTAGATTTTAGTCATTGCAGTTACTAATTCCCAGTGAAAATTAAAAGACTTGAACAGCTCTGTCAAGCAGGAATTTTCTACTTTGGGGTTATAGGACATGAACTTCTGTATATTGGTTCTTAGACCTTTATGAAATTTTACTTAAAATATTGAATACAATAAAACAATGATATAAACTATTCTCCCCTGCCTCCACATTGTGAATAAGAAGAAGAGATAGTTGAATAGTCCATCAATTATAAGGGTGTTTTAAAACATAATCCCTGCCTCTAAAATATTAGCTTAGAGCTTCTGACAGATTAAAGGAAAAATTAACATCACATTTTAGAAGTCAGGACCTAAAAAAAAGATAAAGGAACAACATCATTGTCCTTCTATTTACCAAAAACTATTTTACAAAGGAGTTCTGAAAAATTAGCATTACCCATGTAATTGAAATTTTAAGCCCATATAAAGTGAATCCATTTTTATGAAATTAGCTCATTAGCATGAGTCAATTTTTGAGCGTTTATAAACACTCTTCATCAACTGTTGAAAATGCTTTGGATTATTTCAGATTAGCTTGTAAAGAACCTTAAGGAAAAGATTGCATGGATGTATTTTAATGTGATAGAACTGACATTTTCTTTTTAGCTATAACTCAGCCTACACTGGACAAAATATATTTTCACTGTGCATTATTTTAAGCTACCACAGATGTCCTTAAAATCTACAGATTCTCTATATTTAGATGAAATTCAAATGACTAAATTCAGTTATAGAATAAGAGTTTGTAAGACATCAGAGGCCTTACAAGTGGCATGAGGTTATTGTATCTGTGAGAAACCAATTGTCAAGACATTTATTTGACAGATGTATCAGAGTTCTACTAAAGCTTGGAATAAGTTGTTTGAGTGGGAGTTTAGAGGAGATACCAGAGATCATATGCTTATTTTGCTACTTTTATTTTATAGTCTGTTATATTGAAAAGGACATTTGAAATCAATAATGCATTTTTGAAAGAGAAGAATACCATTCTGATTGGTATAATGATGGGGACTCAAATTATCTCTTAAATGACTGAAATCCACTGTAGAACAGGCCCTGGAGAGCTACGAATGAAAGAGTCCTCCCTGTGAGCAAACCCAAGGGAGGATGTACATAAATGACCGGGTATGCACATCTGTAATTGATCAAGCCAAAGGCTACACATGGCTTTATAGGCACAGGGAGCCCAGAGGAAGCTGCCCTACTAGGATAACAGAGGGATGGATAAGGTGAGAGGGAAGCAGAGGTAGTAAAATTTGGAAATATAAAGTGGAGGTGAGTGAATGGTATTTGCAGGCGGTACATCTTGCTTGGAAATAAGCTAAGTTTGAAAAGTATTCACGAGCATGACCATGAGAAACACCAGTTGGCCAACTTTGAGATTTATAGAGAGTTTTTTGTATTCTTCATTCTTTTATATGATTCAGCCAAATTAAGCATTCCTACATTCTAGACTTACAGGAAAAGAAATCTCTTCCTGGAAGCGTTTGCTAAAAGATAAAGCCAATTACTTAAGCCCCTGCCATCTGTGGGCCTCCGGATCTGAGAAGTGGCTCCCCTCTTTACCTCAGCTTCCTCCTCCCTGTGTCTGATTGTCTCTGCTGTGTTGCACACATACATGTATTTCAGTGCGGGCCTCATCTCCACGTGGGAGGAGAGACACGTGAAGGGCAAGCTTGCTGACATGTGACCCATCTGTTTCACAAATCACCTGCCCAGCATGCAAAGCCTACTTCTCCTAAATAAGTGTGCAGATAATCTTTATTTTCATGCAGTTTATATTTTGAGCATACAGCTCTAAATACCATCAGCCCCCCACCCATGGAAGGTTATCTGAAGTGCAATACTTACTATCTCCAGCTGATCTCACCCAGAAAATTATTTTGTCATATTAATTTATATTACTTGTGATGTGAATACCTCCATAAAGAGTGAACCCCTCAAAGATCTTTAGGAATTTTTAAATTAATGTATTTTTGAAATACCACATTCTCCCTCATCATATGCTTGGTTTCCCAAGAGTTTTTCCCCCATAGTCTGTTAGTTTGGGCCTTTAAGATCATAGTCGTTTGTTGACTACAAGTTGCTATGATGATAAGTGTGTTAACTAACAACTGCTCACTAGGAATAATCCTCCACTCTAGCTGCTATCCTGTTGGCTTGGCACAGCCATTTAGCTCCTCTCAAAACTGGGTACAGCTCACTGCTGTGTCACTATCTGTTATGTGATAAGAGGGTCTGTTTTCTGATTTGTGATTCAGACTTCCTTATCTCAGAGTCCTTTGGCGTGGTGTGATTATTGTGTTCCAAAAATTACATCTTACTGAGTGAGCTAGAAGTGGGCATTTTACTTCTGCCAAACAGAGCCATATTAAAAAAAAAATGAAATTTAGAAATTGGATAAAAAAAGGTATAAAATAATTCAAATAACTACTTTTGCTAAGAGGTTTGGCTTCTTGAATAACTCTCCTGAAGAATGGACAAGGAACTGCTTTCATCCAAGTCTACCCCTTCATACTTTGCTAGAAAAGTATTGTGTTTGGGTTTTGACATATAGTGTTGTTCTTTGATCTGGTACCATTGATTTCCAGAGGGATCTATTTTATTTTCAGTATTTTATGACCATGATTTGAAGTCAGGCCATTTAAAATTGAATTTACTATATAATGACTACTTCTTTGCTACTGAATACCCACATACAAAAATTAGTTTCTATTAGTCTAAACCAGAAGTAGGCAGTACACGTGGATAATTGTTTCTGCTTTCAGTTAACTTCATGTTTATGTAACTCTTTAAGGTTATTATCTTTTATGTTTATTCCTTGCAAACTAAAGAAATAGGGTACATTATTAGTAGTGTAATGGCCCAAGTGAAAGGAAAAAGAGATCATGAGTTCATGGACAGGCAAAGCAAGATTTCTTAGGCCATCAAATGCTGACTCTCTGTTCTGACCTGGTAGGTCAACAGTCAAAACAGCTAGTTGAAATCTTCCATGTGTAAGAAGTTTGAAGATCAGCCAGATTAGTGAAATTATTGACAGTGTTGGAAAGAAACATGATTTTAGTGCTAGCTAGCCTTACAGTAGGATATCCTACTGAATCCTTGACTTCTGATAAAATAATGAACATCTCCTTAGGTACTACTTCTCTAGACTAGTAGGCCATATATGTGCTAAAAATAAGGCAAAAAATAAGCCGGAATGTCAAATGGCCCCATCTCTATACAAAACAGTATGGTGGTTCATTAAACTATGAAAAATAGATATAATATAGGACTAGCAATTCCACTGTGGGGGCCCATGCCCCGAGAATGCACAAACATAAGTTAGAAAGGATCTTTCTACATGTGGGGTTCATGGCATCACTAGTCACAGTTGCCAGACTCATAGGAATAGCCTTACATTTCTGAGAGCAGAGGGGCACATTAAGAAGTTATGGCCCATCTACACAATGGAATACTACTCAGTCGTAAACAAATGACATATTTATGCCATATGCATTAACACAGATTTACTATTGGACTAGAGGAGAGATTTCAGCTAAGGTAAGCCTCTGGGTAAGTTTTAGTTTGCATTAGAATTCAATGATTTAATCATAATTTCTTTTCTAGCATCCAGGAAGACTGCCATTTTAGAAAAAAAAAACTATTGAC